CAAAGCATTTCTTAACATTGTCAAAATTAAAAGAAATGGAGTGACTGAAAAAATAAGAATTATTAAGATCGCCATAAGAGTGCCATCAAACGCCGTTAAGGCGTTAAGATGTAACAAACAAGCTTACTTTCCTATTTATAATATTAATAAGGATCATTGGATGTCATTATAAAAATATGTAATCTTTAACAATAAGCAAGTATTGCCATCTCTGCTCATAATTCATCCATCTCTCCTTTCCCACGATACGGTTCTTATAAGCCGTAATGTAATGATCTATACCGGCCATTATTACTATAAAAAACGTATTAAACCTTAATTACATGTTGATAAAGTCGAACATCCAACAAGATGACCCGAACCTCCCAGCAATATTTTATTGTTATTCGACAATTAAGATTAATGATAAGGCAATAAGTACTTAATTCAAATACCTAGTTAAAAACAATGCTGTATCGTTAATATGCTGTTTATAAGATCAAATTGGTGCGTGGGTGTGTCTTATTAGATGTAACAGTATTTTTGTGGTCATAATTTATTGATTATATGTGCATGAAAAAATTACCACTTTGGTAGTTTGATCTTTGTAAATTGTAAAAAAATATTACGTATGAGTTATACTTTTTATATCATCATTTCAGCCGTTAACTGTCCACTGTACATAAGCCTTCCCCAAAAGGGATGTTTGCTAGTAGTTGCCAAGCTTAGCAGGCGAATTGGCAACCGCAGTTAGGCTTTAGAGATGTTTTAAGAGGGACGCTGATGCCCATCCCTCGACCATAAGTTCACTTAGTCGATACCCACGGGAAAGGAATGGGTGGCCCATTCTATGCCGGGACCGACACGGCGGTATGGTATGATATGGCACTATTGTTTAAAAACATATAACAATATTGAAGAGACGATACTTGCGAATTAATTCACTCATGGACGTCGACCTAACAGTAAAGGGTAATAGTGTCTCTATTCGTAACAATCCCTTACCCATGTAATGTACTAAGACACTATAATCAGCAAATCAGTCTACGTAGACACTGTAGGCCTGATGATTATACAGTGATCTGAGTAATCAAGGGGTCAGTATACAATTTATACACTGGCCTGCAACAGTGTTGCACACATAAATATTGCAAGCACTGAGACCAACTGCGACTCGATGTTTATGGCCACAACCTTATTGTTAAGTACCCATGTGCCTCTATTGGATTAATTAATACTAAATGCCAATGATTTATTAAATCAGTGTTGCATAATTTACGATATAATTAGTTATTTATTACTAGCAATAGAGGGTGGCAACATCGTGGGAATCTACTAACTATATTTTTTTTATGCAACTTAGAATGGCAAAGAGGCTGATGGCCCACTTGATGGAAAGTAGAAACCGTCAACTATAAACACGAAAAGCACTACGACATCACCAAGTAGATTGGATCGTCCACGATACCCTTCATGCATTGCCACTTCTGAGGACTATGGTGTTATGTCTTCATGACCTATGACGACAGCCATATGTCATACTTCAAACCAAAACACAGCCATGCAAACACACCTGCTTCACGGCAGAAACAAGAATGGGACAGAAATATCCAAATAGACGTCTTTTATACAAAGTCTACTCTTACCCTGTGATGATAGTTTGGCTATTCTGTTTTAATTTGCAATATCCAATGAAGGGTTTTTTTTTAAAGTAGTTTTCTTTATACCCAACTGTCTGTCCCACTCGTGTTTCTGTCATTCAGCAGACTCTATCATGGCTTTTCAATTTTAAAGGTGAGATATGGCAGTGAAGTTACAGGGTACGAAGGCAGAACACCAGACTTTAGGAATAGTAACGCTTAAAGGCAATGATGAGGTCGCAGTACATTCTGTGATGCTCATGGCGCTCTTCAAGTTTACAAGTGACGGTTATCATTTTCCACCATGTAGTCCGTCTGCTTATTTGTTATTTTAAATTACTTAAAAATGCAAAAATATTAATTTTTATAAGTAACTTTTGATCTTGTGTATTTATACAACTACTAAGTATTCGCAAAACTAATCAATGCAATGTACAATGCAATATCATACTCTTTCATTAACTTTTCTATTTTTATATATTTGAGATGAGTCTATCATAAATTAAATATAAATCTTTTACAAAAAAGAGACATTTCCAAATATCGATTAGTAAACGAATTAAATCAATCGATCTCAAACTACATTTTTGATTGACGTCTACGTTTGTTTTTTTTTCTAATCCGTACACAGATACCATGACATTTGGTTCGTTAGTGACTGGCCTATCTATTGACATCTGACAACGCTTGCGGGCGGCCAATCAAAACAGAATCAGCAGTGCGATTGAGTGGAAACTAAGTAAAACAAAGTACTTGAGATAAGATTAAGAGGCAGATCGATGATAACGCTTCTCATTTATTCTTAATTATGGCAGATATATCTCGGGGATAAATATTAGAGTAATAGCGGGGCTCTTTGATGTGGAATTGTGATAAAATGAATGGATTTCGGTACAACTTGAAGATAAGTTATTTTGCATGTGCAATGATTTATTTTATTTTATCTAATTATGATAAAATGTTCAGATTGTTGTATAATTTGAAGATGAATTATTCTGTTTATGCAACAGTTTTTTTTGTTATACCCACTTGCGACAAAAGCGATGACTTTTTTTAAATGTGATGTCTATTATAACGACTTGTCGACACTAACAGCTATCGTTGACATTTCATTATTGAAAACGATTTCCAAGACGTTTGACTAGATTTCACATACTTTATAATGTAAACCAAATCTTAATTTAATTACAAGATTGTTATGTATATATGTATTGATTAATTATTACAGATTTTTATTATTGGACGCATTTAGCATATTAATATACCTAGTTATAAGATGTTATATCTGATCAATGTTGTTGGATTTATAGTAATTTATGACTTGAAAACTAAACACGAAGTCAATGTATGAACGGGCCTGTATGTGATGAAACAATTTAAATATTTTCAATCGACTTCAAAAACAAGAAGGTCCTTAATTCGACTGTATTTTTTTATGTTTGTTACCTCATTTCTCCATCAGTTGCGAACTGATTTAGAAAATTTATTTTTTATCTGAAAGTATATACTTAGAGCTTGGTCCCATAGGAATATATTTATACAACTTAGAATGGCAAACAAGCTGACGGCCCATCTGATGGAAATTGGTAACCGTCGCCTATAGACATGAGCAGTATCATGGACATAACAGAGTTATTATATTTATTTTATTATTATAGTTATTTTATTTATTTGTTTTTACATCAAAATACATTTATTTTTGCCACAATTACAGTAGATAGAACACAATCTTATTTATTAAAATTGTTAGGATATAGTCAACGCTTTATTTTAATTGATTTTACTATACTAAACCTTACAAAACATTTAATAATTATATAATAGTAAAAGATCTAAATGATATCTAAATATCGAATGATAATTTGAGTTGATACATCACCTTAAGCTAGTCCAATTCTGATGGAGTATTGTGCCAACACTGCCCCGCTGTTATTAATCACAATTTGAATATATTGACTGGCTATCATTAGGTGTACATTGGTGGTAGCTTCGTTTCACACGGACCGACAACGCCAAAAACATATGTGTACAGGTTGTGTACATTTTTTATTTTTATTTAAACCGACTTCAAAAAGGAAGTATTATAATTTTATACTATTTTTAAGTAATATCTTTAGGTCGATTATTTTAGTGATTAATAGTGTTTGCTTTCGTGTTTATTATTGATTAACCGTTTCTTTAGTTTAACCATCATGCCCAATGGACTATAAAACATTCGAAACAATATTCGTAAGTGAATTGTTTCCTGTTCTAATATAAAATATTGTCTTATATTAAAGAAATTGTGTTACTTAATTAGCTATTTGAATAATTATTATATAAATTTAATGATATTTTTTTTTTGTATACAATTTATATCGACAATAAAAAATGCGAATACATTTATTAAAATAATATGTTCGAGATAACCATATCAAATTAAATTCGAGTTCAAATACCGCCCGTTTAGATATTGTTGACTTAGACACACAATAATTATATAGAATATGATGTCATATTTTTTAACAATATTTCGAATGTAATTATTTCTTTTTAAAAGCTATCAAAATAATTAGCGATTTAGTACAAAAGAGACAAACATCCTGTAGTGTGGCGTGGTTTACAAAAGGCGCGGCGACGGCGGCGGCGGCCGGCGCGGGCGCAGCGAACAATAAAACATAGTGATTAATTTACCGGCGCGGGCGCACGCTAACGAGGAACTATTTGGGGTCAGATACGGTGCGTTTCGCTCTTAGACCCACCAGCGTGTTGAGATGTGATCTATATAGATCACTATAAAAATATAGGATCTTTCTAGATCCGTTTATTAGGATTAGAAAATTTGAAAGTTGCATTTTTTTATAACAGCATATTTTTATATCTTGTGTGGTCCCGGTATAGAATAGACCACCCCTTCCTTTCCTGTGGATATCGTAAGAGACGACTAAGGGAGGGTGAGGGATGGCCAGCAGCGTCCGTCTTAAAACATCTCCAAAGCCTAACTGCGGTTGCCAATCCGCTTGCCAAGTGTGGCAACTACTGGCAAAACCCTTCTTAGGGTGAGGTTTATATTCAGCAGTGGACAGTTAAAAGCTGATATGACGATGATGATGATAATAGCATGACAGATGACCACACCATGCTGTGAGAACACAGGGATAATACGAAACCAAATATGGTTCATAAATGCGATTAGCCGAAAATAAAATCTTACTTTTAACAATTGGTCGCACTATGTTAGTTCACTAAGTGTGTTTATTATTATTATTTATCAAAGAGAAACTGTTAAATAATAACTCGATACAGCCGTGACCCGCGTTCATGAAAACGGACTCCTATCATGTCCGAAACATATAGTTTCTGCGAGTAGATAAAAGTCTTATAAAAAGTTTAAGTACTCACCATCGAGTGTCCGAGATATTCGGCCGCGTTGTCGGAAATGTAGAGGAGTTTGCCATTCTGCGTCATCATCATCAGGAAGCCGTTCAGGGCCTGCGAACAATACGAGTTTTATCATTGGCTGTACTACAACGATTCTATTTTGTTAATATTCATCATCATCGTCATTTCAGTCACTATTCGTCCACTGCTGGACATAAGCCTCCCCCATAGACCGCCATAAAGAACGGTCCTGAGCCACCTGCATCCACTGACTCCCTGCAGTGCATTTTAGGTTTATCATCTAGTGGGGGGGGGGGGGGGGTCGTCCTATACTGCGTTTGTCCGTACGCGGTCGCCACTCAAAAACTTTTCTTCCCCATCGGTTGTCGGTTCTTCTATGTATTAATACTCATATAATAATTATTATTTATACCGATATTTTTCATCTCGTTCATTTTAGGGTTTTTAGTATTACAGATGATCTCTTATTTATCAAACTTTAAAAAATTTAACCACATCTAGGTATATGTAACTTAGGACACTGGGAAGAAAGACTCGAATGACCTTGTGTCTTTTGTCTTAGTATTGTAAAAAAACCACATTTGTCTATGAGTATTAACTATCAGTCATGATTGTTTTTCTGTAGTGATATGTGTAAAGATTAGAGTGCTGTAAAGCGACAAAATATTTCATGTGGGCCAGAGCATGGCCAAGCCTTCCGTGTTCCAAGACGGGCTACGAAATTTGTTGACAATCCCAAGCTTACAGGCGGTATCTTTTAAGTCTTAAGTTTAAGGCGAAACTTTTCTTCTTTATGATACCCAAAGAAAAGTATGTCAGGCAGGTGACCTTATATAATATAAATAAAATCATATTAAGTCGAACTCAAATAATTAAAATACGAGCAGAAAAATGAAGTTGTATTACATTTGTGTAATAGAGTAATAATGCAAATACTACTTTTCATTTCCAGGATATTGTAAAAGGCTTATAAGGGAACAAAGTATCATAATACAAGTCCAAGATAAGGAAAATACAAAACAAAACCTTTACAAGGCCGTATGGTCAACAATAGTGGTTTCATATCCTTCTTTAATGGGAATGTGGGCCGTTAATTGTAATGGTATGCTGTAGACATAAAATGTACAAATAGAAAAATAGCACAATGAATAATGTAGAGATTTATATAAAAAATCGCTTCCAACTTATGATTAAAACCCCCCGAATTAGAGTTAATAAGAGGTTACCACACACCACACCCCTTTAATATAACCTTACCCAACCACTGATTAGGAACAATGTATTTGTGTCCCTTTCCAAAATACAATAAACCTTTTAGCGTAAAAGAGATGAAAGATACATAAGAAATGAGAATTTGTAAAACTGGAATTACGGCGTGGGAATCATAAAAGTCTTAAACAGAAATGTTAATAAAATTGAAATTTTGGTGTGTAAGTTAATTATACGTAAGTTACTGACCTTGGAAAATCCAAAATTAGGCGCCGATGATGACTGTTGATTGATGTCAAAGCGTTTGAATACTGCAAAAAGAAAAGATTTGTTTAAAACAAATAACTTACCAGAGGGAGACTTTGTACAAAATTCGATTGCTTGGGTACCTCTGTCCCATTCGTGTTTCAACCGTGAGGCAGTTGTGTTTGCATGGCTGTGTTTCGGTTCGAAGGGTGGGATATGGCGTGAATTTACTGGGTACAGAGGAATAACACCTGAGTACTCAGGAATGGCAACGCATGGGGGGTATCATGGGCGAAACAGTATACTTTGTTATGTCCATGGTACAGCTCATGTCTACAGGCGACGGTTACCACTTTCCATCAGGTGGGCCGTCAGCTTGTTTGCCATTCTAAGTTGTATATAAAAAAAAAAACTTAGTTCGTAAAAATTATTGGATTAATCTTACTAAGTTTATGATGACGCGTAGATATATTTATTATTCTTTCAGACAAAAACCAATGAAAAGATTTGAATGTAATTTGGCATACAACTAGGTTATATTTTTACATTAAAATATAAGTTAATTTATATACTGAAGCACGCGAGCAAGGCCGGGGGAAACAGCTAGTAGTCTATAAATATCAGTGCGGTTTAAATAATAATGTATAAGAAGACGTTTGTATTTTTATTTTAATCTCACTGTCATCTAAAGACCTCGACCTGTCAACAATCATTTCAAATATACAGTTCGCATTGAACTTTTTCTCAATATTATAATATTCTAGATCATATACATCTAGATAGAGCATCTAATATAAAAAAAAGTTTTAAAAAGCAGTCCATTAGTTGGCTTTTAAAATTGAATGTTCATATACTTATATAATAACTAAATATCAATCTTTTATCAGGCTGTATAAATTTTCGAAAGTATAATAACAATAAAATAGTTAATATAAATAAATAAAATAACGGTTTTTGCGTTGAAAGTCACCAATTCTAAAATAAAGTACAATTGCAAAACCATGCTACTTTAATATAATTTAAGATTTTGTTCCACAAAAAAATATATCGGATTCAATTGTGACTAAACCAGTTATTTAGATTATCATTCAGATAAAAAAAAAATATTTTTCAAATCGCGCTATAAACGATGGAGTTAAGAGTTAACAAACAAACAAAAAAAATATAATTTAAGATTCTATTACACAAAAAAGTCGATTTGAATCGTGACAAAATTAGTTAATTTGTTTTAAATAAAAAAGTTAATTTGGTAAAAAAAAAGTTAATTTGATTTTAAAGCTAAGCATAATCGGTTGACTATGATTAAATTTTTAGGGGACTATACTGAAAGTATATCCTTTCAGACAAAAAGGAGCATTTCAAAACGGCTTAGAACAGACGAAATTAAAAAACGGAAGTAACAAAAGTAATAAAAAATTTGAATTGAAAACCTCCTCCTTTTTCGGTCATTGGTTGAAAATAGGCTGCTTTTGACAAAACATTTATAGAAAGATACTTTATTTAAATGTTGTTGATCTAAAGAATAAAATCGTATATAACTTTACAATACAAAATCGTTAAAATGATCTACATAATTTTCTGCCGATATCTCATCAAATCGATAAATCGTTATATCGTTGGGCATTAGACTAAGCTGTGTGTTGTCATTTATAGAGATTACACACCTACACGACGTTATGTCCATAAAACAGTTAATACGAATGTAATGTGCCCCGGGCTCAGAGTTTGATGACAAGAAATCATAACGTTATTATACGATGTGAAATGTCAGGTCTAGAGGGATTAGTACATCAACCGTGGGATCGCTGGTCTGGATTTTATAATTTGTATACGCAATCTGATATTTTTTTTATGATTAAAACTAAGTTTCTTGTTATATAGGTTTTTCTTCACCTATTTTTTTTTTACTTAATTGATTAGTTCTCCTTTACTTCATTGTTAAAGAAAAATGTAAAAAGTGAAAAAGTCTTCTATAGAGAACTCATTTTTTTATGAAACTTGAATTTTTTAGTAGCATTCTCTAAATTACTAAAACTACAAAAAAAGTATAAAAAAAAACTGTAGTAGTAATTATTTAAGTATTCTCAAAACATTTTACTGTGTGAAATATCAGTTATCACTCAATACAGTATTCTTATAGTAAACAAATTTCACTTTACCAATACTTGAACTGTACTACGTATAAATAATATTTTATGTGTAGTTTTAAAAATACATATAATTATTTGATCAAAGATAAAATTATTCGTATTGTGCTTTTCTGGTAATCAAAAATTATTTACCTGCTATTATTACTGTTATATTGATAAATAAGTTTTACAAAAACGCAGCGCAATTTTGTTAAGTCTACACGCTCCTTAAGGTCGATAGTGCGGTAAAACACGAACAATCGATAATTTGGGCCGGCCTACTCCAACGTTTGATACACATCTCTTTATTGAGTTTATGTGGAGTATTGTATTGCTCAACGTTCGACAGCCGAGTATCATTCTTAACCAAATTGTGAAAGACAGCCGCTTTGTCATTGGAGAATATGATTCGTAAATTATGTTACTTAATCTTTAATAATATCTGTTTAGGTATTTAAATTTTATACCTATTACTATAGAAATATATTTTAAATTTAAAAGATCGCTATTTCAGCTATATTTTTTTCTGAAATATTCTTTCGTAAACATTTTTTTTATACAACTTAGAATGGCAAACAAGCTGACGGCCCACCTGATGGAAAATGGTAACCGTCGCCTATAGACATGAGCAGTACCATGGACATAACAGAGTATACTGTTTCGCCCATGATACCCCCCATGCATTGCCATTCCTGAGAACTCAGATGTTATTCCTCTGTACCCAGTAAATTCACGCCATATCCCACCTTTCAAACCGAAACACAGCCATGCAAACACAACTCCTTCACGGTAGAAACACGAATGGGACAGAGGTGCCCAAGCAATCGACTTTTGTACAAAGTTTCCCTCTGGTAAAATCGCCTAACTATAGTATTATATTGTCTGTGCCTAACATAAAACATTAGACGATATTTACCTCAAATATGAACTGTTATAAACATTTTTTTCTATACAAAATAACTTGGATACATCCGTGACTGTCCCGTTAACTACAATTTTTTTTTATTTACACTTAGAAAAATTTTAACATAGTATTACTTTTAGTGGATATAATGAATCAAACGTTCAAAAACTAAAATACTAAGAGTATTAACAATATATAATGGTAAATAAACTTACAATTCGCAATATTTAATATTATTACTAAACATTACAAATAATATTAAAACCATTTTATATTCCTTTTAAACTTTATCTTGGTCATACTCCTTAAAAATCACAAAAATATATTCGTATCAATTCAAAAGCAAAAACAAGCCACAATATAATTATTCAATTGTGTTCCATAAACAAATTGGTTTACAATTGATGACGTTGTGAGGTAACAAACATAAAAAATCCGAATTAAGAACTTCCTTCTTTTTGAAAATATTCAGATTCAACTTAATTCCAGTATAATTATATGTTTTACAATCTAGAATACTTATTAAAAACTTTGTCATTAACAACTTCTTGTAATATGGTACAGATGAGGTAGAGGAAACTATTAGCTTTATCCTAAATCTTTCCCAATTGTACCATAATCTAGATTAATACATGGGATATTTTAATTTTCATAAGCTAGTCCGCAGGACGCATCTAGTTATTGAATGTACCTAATTATCTAATTTAAAAGATTAAGACAACTACACTTATTAAACAAAACACAACGCCCACGGGCAAAAATTCCGATTACATTGAAAATATCTATGTCATCGCATGCACTTATGGGATAAACATGGTCGTAATTAATCTATTCCATCTATCGATACTTTCTCGACCGGCGGCCTAGGAAACGATAAACAATAACCGGGGACCACCCGATAATATCGATATGTTATCTGTTGAACAGTTCTCGTCTCTAATGGCTCGCCACTATATATAAGGGGATTTACACTTTCTAAACTATCTCAAAAGGGGTTTGCTGGAGGATGGATTAGAATATTGATAAGTTATAACAGTAAGTCGACTCAGACGTACCGAGTAATAATAGTGAAGTGCGCTGTAGTGCATGTAAGTAACTTATAGGGAAAGGACATTGGTGGTGATAAGTATGATACGATCAAGTATACATTGTCATCATTATCATATCAGCCGTTATCTGTCCATTGCTGAACATAGGCCTTCTCTATAAGAAACGGGGCCGTTTCTAATGGCAGACTACCATTGGGGAGATTTTGCCAGTAGTTATCACACTTAGCAGGTGGCTGCAACCACAGGTTGCCTTCTGGTGGTGGTCTAATAAGAACTCTGGAAGGGAAGGAAGGGAACACGACAATATATATAAACGTAATTTAATAGCCATCGGCTTCGCCTTCGGTCGTAACAAAATTTATATAGTGTAAATTATTGGCGTATTTTAGATAAATATCAAGGAGGGAGGGAGGGCTGGTCTCTTAAAAAAGCCTCATTAGTACTCTTAAACATGCTTTTTGTGCATAGCTGAGAGGTCCACACATACTGGGGTGGGTATCAAACAATTCAGGCGTGGACACGACCCACCGGCCTCCCTTTCTTCCTAAATATAGCTATGGAATTGAGGCCTGCAAAAATAATTAACAAAATCACTTCAAATTTAATGAAAAAGAGACAAAAACAACCAATAAGATTTTTTTTAAGACATTAAAATTGCAGTTTCGTGAAGACATCGTTGACAAACGTGAATAAAAAAAAATAACCAAAAAAGCATTCTTATTAAAAAAAATAAGAATTTGCTAAAAACTCTGTAACATAAAAATACCACTACAGTACAGAAAATAAATCGAATCAAAATAAACACATGAAAATAAAATCACTACCAAAGCAGCTCGTGTGCTACCCACATTAGTATTGGATACTTGGGATATCTAGCAAAATTCCTAGTAGCTGATAAGTATCGTTAGACTGCGCAGCGTACGGTTATGTGTTATATTGCTTCATATTTAGTTTGTATATATCATGTACCTATTAAACTGCTG